CAAGTTATGTCATTCATTCAGCGGAGCGTCCGTCGTTCGCCGCGTCGCACACACTCGCCAACCACTACTTAGTACAGACGCGGAACATGATTCGGTTGAAACTCCGACGCGTACGGCGTACGTGTGTACACGCACGCACCTATGAACGTGTCGCACGTATGTGGAACGGAAAGAGCGGTGTAATTACGAGGAAGGTCGGAGAGGGGAAGAGAGAGAGAGAGAGAGAGAGAGAGAAAGAGAGAGAGAGAGCGAGTAGAAACAAGAGTGGAAGGGTCGCGCGCCGCGACGTTCGAAACACTGGATGTTCCACTCGCTTCGTTTGCTCGCGTCTCGCGATCCAGCGATTTTTCTTCTTCCATTCGGCGCACGAATCGACACCTCGGTGATGTAGACGCCGTTAGGAGATTAGGAAGATCGCCAGGCGACGTGTCCTCGGACGACCACGCATGTCCGACATCCGCGACCTTACCGACGCAATGATCCCGCGTCGTTCCGCTCCGGATGATTCTGCGCCATCGCTCGCGGCTGGTGATTCGGTTCAAGGTGAAAACAAGCGAGTCTCGCGCATGCGCAGCTCGCGCATCGTTACGTTCAAAAACCGTTGCTCCTCTCTTTCGCGGGCAATGAACTTTCGCGGGAAAAACTGAAAGAATTATCTATATTGAAATATGTCTGTGAATTTTATCGTTCCCTTGCGGAAAAATATATTATTGAACTTAAAGAATACTATTGGATTGAAAAAATAGAACGAATAGTTTGAGTATGATATTCAATCCAGTAACTTTCAAATTATTCCCAATCGTCTTTCGTAAAATTCACTGAAAAAATATTTACTAAATCTTCATATATATTTCTTTGAATAGCATTAAATAAGTATTTACTTACAATAATATGGCTGGATTAAAGACGATAATTTCAAGAAACTGAAATAAGCATAACTCATATAAAAAAGAAATGAGGATTCTAAAATAAGAAAAAGATGAATTCTAAGTATAATAAAAATAATTTTAGTTTACAGATGTAACACAAAGGAAATTGAATTGACATTTTTGGTAAAGGGATTTATAATTGAGTGAGTCCATCTTCGGCTATGGAGAAGCACAATGAAATCAAGGAACACAAATTTCCAGGAATCACACATAGTTTGGAGCAAACGTGAGGTATTTAATCCTATGCCATGATCGTATATTTATTCGCAGACTGCAAAACTTTACATATATATTATTGTACACATATGACTTTGAATAATAAATACATGTACAAGCTACGTTTAATCTTAAGATAACATAAGAAATCTGCTGTTACAATATAGTACATTTTGTATCGAGAGGAGATACCTCTACGCCCTGCTTCATCTCTTTGCTTCGTATATGCAGATACGAGTTCTCAAACTCCTTTTGCATCCATTCGGGCAGAGGAGTGTTCCAGTTCTCTGGCGGTTTCTTCCTCTTCTCCCAGACGTCATTCTTATAATGCGCATACAATCGGTTATGTCGGCGTTGCTTCTCGCTCTTGATCAGCGCGTCCTGCAAAGATTTTGTTTCAGTATTGTTTTACTTTACTGAGAGAAAAATTTTTGATATTTGTAACTGTAATTACTATAATTACGATTATAACTGCTATAATGTTAATAATGGATTTTTCAAATTGCAATATCTCTAGATTTTCGTGCACACGGCGACACAAGTTGTGTTCTATTTGTCGACACAACGCTATACATCTGTATTCGAGAGTTGTGTAAGCTTGTGTTTTCTAATGACAATTACATGTTACTAACTGCGGCGGCTATAAATGAGGTTTGAAGATGTTGAGTGTCTGGCTCAACAGCATCTTTTATTTTTTTTTATTTAATACAGGTGGAAAAAGCTACATTTAATCTAACTCTATTCTAAATGGATTTCAACCATGCACAGCATATACATTCTGTTCCAATTGAATCATGCACAATGATACACTTTGTGCATTCCTGTGTACGTTTGTTTAAGATGTGTTAAACAACTGGAAAGTACTCAATAATAATATGTATAGTTCTAAACAAAGTTCAACAAATATATATAGTTAACTATAGAAAATGACTATTAGCGTTTTCAACTGTAGTGGATTTTTAATTCACCTGGGTTGGATTAATGCTTTATTATTGATTGACATTACAATGCTCTATCAATAGTATAGCATCATTAATCCAAATCGAATCAGTTCAAAACTCGTTACAATCGAAAATGCTAATGATTACAGTTACTATTATCATAAAAAATGTTGCAATTATTATAATTTAATTACAATTTATATTAATTTTTTAGAAAAATCATTTTTTAACAAAAAGATTATAAATTATAATAACTGCAATCATTTTTACAATAATAAGTATAATTATAATAATTTTTGGTTTCCACTATATATATATATATATATATATATTTGTAGTATAAAAAATTATTATTAACATTATAGAAGTAATAATCATAATTATAGTAATATATAATTAAAGTATTTATAGTTACAAATATCAAGTTTTTCTCTTAGTATCCACCAGAAATTCAGACGTGTTATCGTCAAAATGTTTATGGCAACCTGCATACATATGCCTCTTCCGATTTGTATTTTTCCCATTGATAGCAATTGTGATAATCGGTGTTCCACTGGTTGCAGTCGACTGTTTCGCCGAATATAAAGTATTGATTGAAACGAGCCTTTATACTGTTGCAATCGTCATACTCATCTTTGTACACCATACACGGTCTAATCTAAAGGAAATATACAAATATAAATTGAATTATAAATTGAATATCCAATGGAAAAAGACATGAATACAGGTGTAATCGCATACCATCCACTTATCATAGCGGAGTGGCGTTTTCTCTTCTTTTTTCGCTTCGCTCATATTCGCTAAAATATATCAATATCTTCTAGATTACACATAAAAAATAGATTTGTCTATTTACTCGCCATATACGTGTTTAATATACAGCACAATACACCACAATTGATAAATACCGCAACTAAAAGCGATATTTTAGATAGGTTACAGATAGGTTAGATATAGATTAGATTTAGGTTAGGTTAGACACGCATGATGCATTCGGAACGACAACTGCTCGCTCGACATGAATACGTCCCTAAATAATAATAATTCCCTAAATGTGCGAACAGAGTGACAGTTAGGGAAATCGAAA